ATTAAGTTTTCTTATAATATTTTTTCTTCTTTTTAAATAGTAGGCCCGGCGGTGCGCGTGCATTGTAGCAGCGCACCGCCTGGCAGGGTCGCCATGTAATGTTTGGACAAGCAGTAATTTAAACTCAGTGATGCAGTTTAATAATTCTCTCTTTATTGGGTTGGAGGAGACTTATATATAGTGGTTGTGACGTAGGTACATAGGTAGGGGGCAGGGTTTGTGTTACGTGGTTCCAGGTAGAGCCACATGAAGGGTATCTTCTTCTATAAATATAATATGATATTACTGAACCAAATAGATGTTATTTCTACTCCTTATATGGAGTCCACGTTGAGTGATGATATCATTTAATATTCCTGTTATATTGTTTTATCATAGTACCGACACCACACCCGCCTAATACCTGCAAATTAGTGCAATGATAATTTAGTACATATATCGAAGAGAAATTAGTTTGTTTTGCGCATTCGCTCTCTGAATTTCTTTAGTGACACAGTGGCTACTCCTTTGTTTTATACCAAAACGGCAGAAATTATTCAAAATAATATTTTTTCTGTTGGCACCAATATGCCAGCACAAGCACGTGTTGTTATCAACAATGTTTTAACATTTTTTTCTGAAATGAAAATAGATGCCGAAAAGTTACAAAGTGTTAATTTCTGCCGTTCTCGTGAAGTTGCTGCGGCGATATGTGGTGTGAGTGTTAGAGCCGACGACAAAATTAAAAAAGAGTGTATAAAGGGAGAAGTTAGCTCTCCGCGAAAAAGCATCTATCGGCCTTGTACCGTTACTGCGTTAGACGACTTTGACAAAAGTGTAATTAAACAAATAGTATCATCGTTTTATCGCGACGGTGAATATCCTTCCACGGCTAAAATTTTGAGTAAAGCAAAAGAAAGAATTGACGGATTCCAAACTTGGGTACAAGTACACACAAGTTCCAGATGGTCGTAAACAATTGATGGAAAGGACTGACATCGTTTGTGCGCTGCTACAATTCCTGAGAAAAATCAAGATCCGGAGAGATAGTGAAGACACTCGACCAAGAATTTATTTAGATGAGACTTGGGTGAACCTAAATCACAGCTGCAAACGAATTTGGCTAGATAAGGATGGACAAGGCGGCTTAAACACAAAAACCGGAAAGGGGGCAGACTAATTGGTAAATATTCTTTCATCTTTCATGTAAAACATATGACTTAATAATAATTTAATACAAAATATGATATTCATTTAATTATGTTGTTTCAGTTTGTCATGCAAGCTGCGTAAAATATGGTTTTATACCCGAAGCCAGATATGTATTCCGTGCTGTGAAGTCTCAGAACGAGGACTACCATTCAGAAATGAATGGCGAAGACTTCACAGACTGGTTTACAAAGCTGCTGCAGAGTCTTGAAGAACCATCATAATGGACAACGCCCAGCAAATTAATCCCAGCAAATAAATCGGGCACCGACATCAGCTAACAAAAAGATTGAAATTCAAGAGTGGCTCCGCCAACACGGGATTGAGTTTATTGATAGTGAGCTCAAGCCGTAACTATTACAAAAGGTATTTCACATTTTATTATTTAAATTAGTTGAATATACAAACAAAAATATATTTAATGGTGCAACTGAACCGACCAGAAAAAATATACAAATTGGATCAGTTAGCTTTGGAGTCAGGACACGAAGGGTTTCGCTTACCACCTTACCATTGCCAATATAACCCAATTGAGTTGGTATGGGCTCGAGCAAAAAATTAAGTTGCCAGACGTCAGTGTTACTGCATGAAGCAATTTCAAACGTTTCGCAAAAGAACTGGGAAGATTGTGTGAAGCATGCAGACAAACTCAAAGAGAAAGATTTGAAGAAATCTCATCTGGCAGTAGATATCGTAATTCATGTGGATGACAATAACTCTGATGGTTCTGATGTAGAATTTTAATGTAAATAGTTTTAGATTTAATTTTAGATATAAGTTGTTATCTGTATTTTCATATTTATTTTTAATATTACTAATTACATTCCAAACATTTGTACTTATAGTTTTGTTAATACATATATACCTAATTAATAATTTATTTTAAATCATTATTATTTTTATTTCAATAAGTATGTTGTTTCATCTATTTTTTTTTTTCATTTTCATCACTAACCCTCATAATGTCAAAACTAAATATACTATCGATAACGCTTATCAACAACAATAATGCGCATCACTATGCTCGCCCCCAAGACCCATGAGTGGGAGAGAGAGTGAAATACTCCGATGATTTATGACCCAAACTCCACGGACAAAACAATTCTAGTATAGTTGTGATCATAGGTAACTAACAAAACTTAGCAGTGTATGCGCCAAACATTTTGAGCCTCATTGTTTTAGGCGGACTAAATATGCTTAATTCATGTAATTTATAATATAATTAAGATAAAAATTTGAAATTGTTATAATTTCTTGTTGTATCTTGTTGTTCCTCCATAAGTGATATAAGTTTGACATTGTTGGTAGTTATGATTTTTGACATTGTTCTGTATATATTAAAAATTGACTAGCATTGCTTAATTTATTTATGGTTCTTGACATTTTATTTTCAAATGTTGACATTCTGTATTATTATGACTTCTAATAATTTTATTGTAATTTATATTTACAGTGGACCCCCGGTAATCAGACAAACATTTTGCAGGGCAGTGTCGCACTATCTAATTTGTCGGATTATAGAGTACTGCATAAGAGGGGGCTATAGTCCGGATTTTTTTTTTATAAAAGAGTACCTTGTAATCCGACAAATTCCAGATCCAATGATAAGATTCTATATGTTATATATATGTACTCTGAAGTACAAATTATACTTCATTATGTATGTCAAATTTAGTAAATTAAACAACACAATAGGGAGCTTACATTTTATTATAAAATTAACGTTATTAATGCTATAGAACGTACAAAAAATATGCAATAACTTTACATTAGGAAATAATTGTGTACAAACAAATGTACGTACTAAAATAATCAAAAATGATGAATCAATCAATTTAAGAACCATGAAAATATTCATCAATTTTTTTTTGTTTCACATTGTTGAAACGCGAGATTAAAGCTTTGTCCCTCAGTCTTCTCAAAAGTCTTGACACGAACTGTTTAATCTTCTCGTGATTTTTTGTAATGTCATAAATTGTAGATCGGCCTACGCCGTATTCACTTGCTAAACTACTAAACGATTCATTACGATTAAGGCGGTCTAAAATATCACATTTTTCTATAATTGTCAGTGTTTTGTGCTTTCGCTTCTGAGCTTGTATACGTAATACACAACGAATAAACAGTAAACAATGAACACACGCTAGACCGCACCGCTATCTTCATCGCATATATGTAGTCAAATTCAAACTAAGCAATCAGAATCAAAACAATACCCTATGCGTCGAGCACCCATAAAAGGCCTATAAAAGGTAAGTCACCTATAAAAGTCCTTCCCTAGATATCCTGATAGGATGACTTTTGCCATAATTGCCACGCCTGCGTGAAAATATGCGTTATACTGGTTTTGCCACAGCAGTCTTTTATTATTTTAAGTTTTCATCAGGATAGTGCAGCTGCGCCATCCCCATCTCGTATTGCCTACGACGCGGGGTATCATCATCCAGTGTATAGACAAATTCTCTTGTACGCCACAATTTGCCGCACACAAGCCACTAACTTGGTAAGACATACAGGAAATCGCGGGAATTGGCTCAAAACCGTGTTTTGTACTACAAAACCTAAGTGGAACCGTTTCTTTTCGGAGTTCTGTGTTCAGCACTGAACTTGTGATGGAATAGTATGTTAAAACATTATTGAATTTTCTTTTGTAAAAACAACATAAAACTCGACACGAGGAAATTTTTGATTATTAATTTTTTTTTATTCTTAATTTTTTTTCTTTACATACTTAACATATTGCTACTTATTAGCGATATCACACTTTGTGCTAATATACCGTCTTCACTTAGTGCCGTCGAAATCCAAAGAGTTTATTGAATGTCCAGTAAAATCGTGGATGCGCCGTTGAATACGGAATGATGATTCTGTTGTTAAGCCGTTTCTGCCCGTAGTTTTTAGTCACAGAATGTTTTTTCAAGAGAAATGAATTAATCATCTGAATTATAAAAGAACATTTTTACAGTAAGAAATAAGTTTTTTGTATGAATTTAAGTGCTGTGAATAAAAATAAATCAATAATGGGGGTGGTGACGCGTGGTTCAAAAAAAGCCTAAATCATGCTATCGAAGTTTTGAAATACTGCTGTATATATATAATATATAGAATAATTCTATGAGAAATATCGAAGCAATTCATATCCATGGTCATCTAAAACAAACTTATCGAATATTTATTTAAAACAAACTACTACTTTTTAATTATATTACTAATTAAATACATTTCCATTCAATTTTATTAAAAAATGTACGAAATAATATTGAACCTAGTTGATAGCGCCCTCTAGTGTATTTTTCAGTAATTTATAATCTCAACGATATCTATAAAAGCGCAGAAGAAACTTCCCTCGTTTCGTCACCTTATAATTTGTTAGTTGAGTGGCTCATCTATACACCCCCGCACCCCGACAGGGTACATGTATTCTGTACTATACACGTAGACAGAGCATAGTTCTGTCTACGCCTATACATGATAGATGATAGTGTATTATCCATATTATCTATGGCCGGGAGTCTTAGTCTGTGGTTGGTCAAGCCCATAGATAAGAGTGTATATACTGGTATATACGGAAATTCAAGCCCTCCCGATCCCGATTATATTAGCTTATCTATGGTCAAGCCACAATTGTCAACAAAATAATTAATTTCTTTTATGGAAAATTATTATATAAATAAAACGTAAAGGTGACATTACGCTTTAAAAAAAATTGACATTAGTTGTAGATCTTATTCGATAGTGTATTTATAATTTTTTCACTTAATTAGTAGTTGGATGTAATATCGTTAATATCGTTTAAGAATTGTGCAGCAGTCATGGAAACTATTTTAGAACAGCAAAGAAGCTACCATGAGGAAAGGGAACGTACCATGGACGCTATGGTTAAAGAAATATTGCATAAAAAAACTGGGGTGAGCGAATATTTTGTGTACATGGAATAGAGGTTATTTTAAAGCTTAATTTTGTCTTCATTCAGCAACTTTCAATATTGCTTTTGTATCTACAAAATACATCAGTGCTATACGAATAGGTGGTAATTTGTATATCTTACTCCAAAGTGTTGATGTCAGAACAATCTAACAATTATAAACTAACTAAACAAACAGACTGGGGGTAGCGGAAATGCACTGTTCGCAAGGAAAAGAAAATAAGATACACACCTAAATCATGTGATACACAGTTGTGCACTTATTGCATGCCTTAAGCTCAAAGCGCGTATGTATGTTCTACTGCACTAGTAGTAAAAACTAAAAATCAAGATTCCAACGTTTTGTTGCATAAAATCGTATCTAACAATCATATTGAACATATGAAATAAAAAGCACATTGTCAGAAAGATAAATGATTGTTGAACTTATTAATATTTTTTTAAATCGATTAATTGCTATTTTTACATAAAGTGGTTTTAGTGGCTTATGGTGTAGATTTATCAAGTCTGCATGGAGTGGTAAACACAATAACTTTTGAAAATATCAATTGTTTAACTCAATCTATTTTTTAATCTCTTCATCTATCATGTGGGAAGCCATGGAATGTAAATGGTAGTTAATTTTGTTTTGTTTAGGTATAATAAATTTTTCAGCTGCAAAATGGTCGAAATTTTCAGTGTTTAGCAGCCTTGTGTTAATTTATTTTACTAAATAGACTGCCTCACTCACTTTGGCGTCATCCGCTGTCGTGAGTGGATACTGTATTGGTTGTATATAGCAGCTCAAAAAGATTGTTGTACAAATACAAAATATTTGAAAAAACAAATTTCATACATTCTTGATTATTATAATAATCAGAGATTTTTATTACAATATTTTAAAAACACAGAATAAATAATAGTAGTATGTACTAAAAGTAAGTAAGATGTATATATTTATACTTAAATACGTGTTGAACTTTATTGAGTGACCTGAACAATGATATGATTATCATATGAGCATTATGAGTTGTGGAACAATGATATGATGATCAAATGAGCATTTTGGATTTTCCAAACTTTTTAAATTGAAGTTTGACATAAAATTATCGGAAAATTGGAAGTATGCGCCGCTTAGCCCACTCTTCGACTACACACATCCAGTTGCTGCTAGCTGTCCTGCACAGATCATCACTCCATCTAACCAGGGGGCGTCCCACTCTACGTTTCTCTAAACGTGGTCTCGACTCTATGATACGCCTATGCCAATGGTTATCGTTTCTGTGACAAATGTGACCAGCCCATTGCCACTTCAGCCTGTAAATACAAAAGGCTATGTTGGTGACTTTGGTTCTCTGGCAGATTTCATCATTACGAATCTTATCCACCAGAGATACTCTGAGCGTAGCTCTTTCCATTGCCAGCTAGGTGACTTTGAGTTTGTGGAGTACAGAGTAAAGTGGACACTAACGGTACGGCACTGTTAGTGTCCACTTTTCGGCACCATATGTGAGTACAAGCAGGACACAATCTTCAAGCTTTGCGGTATGGGCAACGAGAAAACCTAATGAAGCTTCCCAAATGTTGCCCAGCCCAAATGAATCAGCTTCTTTCTTGAAGTTGTTTCTAGTTAGTTTACAATGGGCTGTTTTCACTCCACGTCCAAGCGCGTATATTGCGTATGGGCAGGAATAATGTAATTATTCGAGCCATGAAATCTCCCCAATTAAGTTCAACAGTCTTTTGATGTTGCAACCAACTTCGGGGAGAGATCCCAGCGTGCTGAGATGTTTAGTCTTGTATTTAGCGACATCTGGACACGAGCAACAAATGGGTCGCCGTTTCTTCCTCCCCCATATATGCCATGTACGTACAGGGGACTATCTGTAACACCTATGGTAAATAAATATCTGTGGCTTGTTCAGTCTCATTAGAACATTGGTTAAACAACTGTTTATTTCAGGCAGGGCCTCCCTATCTTGTCTACGGTCTACTAGATTTTTTTCAAAGCTGAGTGTTGATTAGTGAAGTCTCTACGTACCAGTGAACAAATATTACCAAAGAGGATTGTTATGATTGGTTCTGGCCCTATAGTGGCCAGAGCCGATCCTCTTCTGGCCAGTTCGTCTGCTGCATCATTGCCTCTGGATCGACTGTGTCCCATTATCCATTGCAGTCACATTGTTGTGCTTACATACCTCATTTAATTGTTACTGGCATTCCTATATTAATCCCGAGTTCATCACCACATTGCAACTTAGAGCTAGTAGTACCGCTATACTATCGGTCAGTATTCTGATGGAGAAGTCTTTTACCTTCCTAGCATCTATTGCTATGGCTGCTTGGATTGTGATATAGAAATGTGTCAATGAAAGGAGGCGTGTTGATGCTTCTATAACTTTAATTATACTGTATCAAACTTATTCTACTTAACACTAATATATATTGTCGTGGAGGCTATACTACAAGATGATACCCATACATTCAGCTTGAAAGACTGTGTTATGGATTCCCAGCTATGTACATAATATGTGGATATTGACGTCTTCAGAGAAAGTTCCAGATCCTACACCTTCATTTGTTTTAGAACCGTCCGTGAAAACTCTAACCTCTTTTGGGCTTGATTTCTCTGGCAGATTTCTTCATTACGAATCTTATCCACCAGAGATATTCCGAGCGTAGCTCTTTCCATCGCCAGCTGGGTGACTTTGAGTTTGTGGAGTACAGAGTAAAGTGGACACTAACGGTACGGCACCGTTAGTGTCCACTTTTCGGCACCATATGTGAGTTCAGGCAGGACACAATCTTCAAGCTTTGCAGTATGGGCAACGAGAAAACCTAAAGAAGCTTCCCAAATGTTGCCCAGCCCAAATGAATCGGTTTCATTCTTGAAGTTGTTTCTAGTTAGTTAGTTTACAATAGGCTGTTTATGTGTTTACTGTGGGCTGTACTATATCTATACAAATAAATAAAATTGAAGTGTCTGTTTGTAATGTCAAAATAACAGCTATTAACTAAATGCATATGAAAGGATATACGGTACTTATAACAAAAACACAATTTTTATAATTTTTGTCTGTCTGTCTGTTTGTTCCGGCTAATCTCGGAAACGGCTGGACCGATTTTGATGGGACTTTCACTGGCAGATAGGTGGTATTATAAAGAGTAACTTGGCTACTTCTATTTTAGAAAAGGAGTTAGGGCTCCACGCAAAAAAATTAAAACCTATAAAATTCAAGTAACAAATTCCACACGGGCGAAGTCTGAGTAGTACACGCTCTAGGCTTATCATGCTCAGAGTTATAGAATAACTTACCTTTTAGGTTGTTTAGGCCTTTGATTTTACCAGCCCTAACCCACGGCTCCTGGATTAAGGCTGTGGCCGTCCTTTGAGGTTAGCTTTTGAAGTTGTTTCTATCTGACTGCACTATCTGGCCGAGGTAGATATACTCTTGATCAACTTCAAGAATCTCACCATCAACGATAATCAAATCTGGTATGACGTGATCGTTAAACATGACTTTCGTCTTATTTAAATTCATACACAGTCCGACACGTTGAGAGGATTCATTTAGCTGCAGGAACTACAAGACATGCTGCTCTTCTAGTTTCTGCAGCGATTCTGCCATGACGACGATATCATCGGCAAAGCGTAAGTGCGAGATGTATTCGCGATTTATATTGATGCCGCGTCTATTCCAGTTTAGCGTCTTAAGAACATCCTCCAGTGCATTTGTGAAGAGTTTTGGTGATATTGTGTACCCCTCTCTTACTCCACGATGCAACTGGTTAGGTTTTGTAAGACCAACCTGTATTTGGACAGACATCGAGCTTGTGGTGTTTAAATGTCTCAAGACATCTATGTATCTAATATCTCTATGTATCTATATCCATTTATCTCTATATCTCAAATATTAGAAACATTTAAAGAAATAAACATATTAACTTTGGCATCGCAATATATTTATGAAAATGTAATGTATGTACATAAAAACATAGCTTTAATAAGAATAAGGATGTTCATACCTTAAACACTAGGAACAAACATAAGCTTGTAATGTCAGTTACTAGACTCCACAGAATTAGTAATTTATTTATGGGGCAATGTATACGCTTTTACAACAAAATCCCAGAACATGTTCAAAGTTTGTCAATAAACAAGTTTAAAAGTTTTATTAAAGAAAATCTGTACAAAAAGGGTTATTATAATATCAAGGAATATATGAATGAAAATAACCTCAGGGAACAAGGTGATCGCCACCATGCTGGTTCTATGAATAATTCATTTAAAATTGTATAAACAAAATTATTGTTAAGTGAAATTATGTTTAAAAAAAAGTCCCGCTGTGTTTCTTACTGGTTCTTCCTAGGACAGAGGTATTTTCCGAACCAGTGGTAAAAAAATATTACTTTCAATAAGTATTATGTAATAATTAATATTCAATAAAAATCATTCTATTCTATTCTATTAGAGATAAATGATTTCTTATATTTACGCGAACACTACACATTGAATAAAACGTACGGATCCATGCACCCATGGTCACCGGTGACTGAGGTGATTGACGTCCCGATGTCAGAGTTAACCCAGAGTACCTTCAGCTTTTTTATTATTAATTTTGGTCCGATCTACGCAGAACGAACTTACTGTGTCTTGAGGTCTTGCAGTGGTATGCTTGGGTTTCGTTTTATTTTTATTAATTACGGAAGTTCGGCGGCCAGGTGTTTGCTGTCACAGATCCCTCGTGCTCTCTGTAACATCTATGTATCGCCAGTCAATCCGGCAATGCTGCAAGGAATTCATCTTTCTTTCTTTTTTTTCTTTACCATGGTTTTGTCGCCTTTCTTGTGAAACAAGACTGTGATGCTTCTGCTCCACGCCTTTGGAGTTGCCCCATCTTGTAAAACGCAGTTAAAAATTCGACAGGGCTCGTTTAGCAATGGTTGTCCGCCCGCTTTCAAGAGCTCTGTTGTAACTGCGTCTTAGGCCTAGGGCCTATGGGCTGGGGACAAAAAATTTATCGCCCGATTATATCCACTGACAAGCGATAAAATTATTTTGTCTTTATGCCAAAGCACAGCAACAGGGAGATGTATATCCCCGTTTGATATAATGAGTAAACATATATCCCCCGTCCGTAGCATGAAGCCAAATGAAAGATAAAAAAAATTGACATTTAAAAGGGACAATTTTAACAATATCAATACGAAAAATCTATCTTAGTCTAAGTCTGTCTGCCATTTTATCTACTGTGGATATTATATCCACCGGAGTGCCCATGCTCGAAGGGTGAATAAAACTAAGCTAGGGGATAAACATTTTCTCCTTTCCCCGTTGATAAAATTGCCTCCTGTCCATGCTAGCCCTGCTGGGGCCTTTACATTTTTAAGTTGCCCGAGGGCCAACTCCATCTCCTCCAGACAGAAATCTGGCAGCTCGTCGGTAGGTGGCTAGTGGCGGGTTAGTGTGGCTCTGGGATCGTCGCATTTCGGGTCTGGTTGCTGGTTTCGGGAGGCATATAGTATACCGTAATAGCCGTCGATCTCAGCAAAAACCTCTGGTTTTGCCATCGTATGTCTTTTGTTTCGTAATGTGGCTCCTCTCAAGCTTACGAGCAAAGACTTTAGGACCCTTGTTTCGCTCTATTGCCTCTTGAATAAAGTTTGCATTGGAGCACCGTAGGTCCCGCCGTACAGCTTTCCTTACGAGTCTGGTGAGTGCAAGCTGTTCTGATGGCGCGGCTGTTGTTCCCTCACGTCTCTTTTGCGTAAGCTGAAGTGTCTCGTTTGAGAGCTTAGACTTCCGGCCTATATGTTGCCCTATACAACCTATTCCCGTCATCCCTTAAGGTTTTGACCACACTAGTGAGATCCTCGTCAATATCCAATATGGGTCTTAGGGCCGATTCGATGCTTTCGGATTTCGGAGTTCCAACTGGAAACGTTGGGAGCCCACTACGGTTTGAAAAGCATTTGGTCGGAGCGTGGACTTCACCAGACGGGCCCTTTCAATCTCTATTATTATTTACTATTATTATATAGTATTTACTTGCTGACATGTAGACTTACGAATATAGCCAGCAGGGAGAAAATCCACTTGTAGTTAAAATTCAGGCAGAGCCCGGAATAAACTTAAAATCTGATTGGTTCTGATAAATTTGGTCAATTCAATTTAAATGAGTTTTAAACCAGGATTCAGGCCAATATCAGTTGTTTTACCTGCTGGCCTGTTTAATAATAATAATAATAATTAATGTGAAACATGATTATTGCTTAATTTGTCATTAATATTGATGTTTCTTTTCAGCATCGAGAAACTATTAACGGTGAACATAGATTAAAGAATCTACATGATGTAAGTACAATAAAATCTAAAAGTACACTATGCTTACACACACTATGTTTTCACTATGAGTTGCAGATCTTAAGAGATATTAAATCTCAGTTTTTGTTATTTGAAATTGTATCTCTAGTCTTACGGCTATTAATAAAATTAGTATTTGGATGTTCCATGGATTTAATCAAATATGTTTATATTAATAATATATTATTTTAGAGATATGTTGAAGCTACAATAAGATTGAAGGAGTTGTATGAGGACAAAGATAGTTTACGTAAGGAGGAAATAGCTGCTCTGTCTGGACCTAATGAGTTTCAAGAGTTTTATGCAAGACTAAAACAAATTAAAGAATTTCACAGGAAACACCCTAATGAGGTAAGTAAGTCCTATCATTATTGTTATTGTTACAGCCCATCAGAAGTCTATTACAGAACCCCTAAGATTGTCTCATAGAGGGATATTTACCATAATTGCCACGATGGGCAGGTGGGTGCGTAATGGCAGTTTTTAATTATTTTGGGTTGATATCAGGAAGATATTGCTCGCCATCTCCTGTTTCATTTCCCTTTGTTGTCTCTTACACCATCCACCGGATATGGGGAGATGGATTTTGGTGATGGTTATTGAAAATTTATGTTTTTAGGGTTCCGTACCTCAAAAGGAAAAAAACGGAACCATTATAGGATCACTTTGTTGTCCGTCTGTCTGTCTGTCTGTCTGTCAAGACCCTTTTTCTCAGGAACGCGTGGAGGTATCAAGCTGAAATTCATATCAAATACTCAAGTCGACTGTCCCTTGGAGCTGTGAAAAAATCAAACTTCTAAGCCAACACAATCAAAAGATACAACCGTTTATGCCGCAAATTTTCGACATTTGCAAGGGAATCAAAACTTACAGGGTGCTTCCCGTGAACTCAGAATCTTAGAATTTGGTACGAAGCAACGTATTATAGCACAGATAAAGGAAAAATTGCGAAAAGCATACATTTTTAGTTACATCATATAATAAAAATATTTTTAATAATTCTAAACTTATATACCTACGGATTTGTTCGGAATCCTCGGAGCGCGAGTCCGACTCGCACTTGGTCGGTTTTTTTAAATTGTAGATTGTGAATACTCTCGCAAAATTAAGAACTCTCTATATATAATTATTATCATTGATTTACGAGTATCACTGCCGTGACTGATTTTACATTAGCAGAATATTATTAAGAGAAGCCGTAAGTTAAAAGAAGAAGACTGACATTTTATAAGACGACAATTTTCTATTCTTATATATCTATTTTTTTTTTATAGAATAAGGGAGACAAATAAGGACACAGTCTACCAGATGGCAAGTGAACTCTGTGACCCATAGACATCATCTATCCAGGAATAAGAATCAAAATGCAGATGCATTGTAATCCTTGAGAACTAACATGAAATATCTTGTTTCCAGTAAAAATGGTATCTAGTTCTCTACACTCACCATACCAAACACAACAGCATTAGGCTGATATTTCATGCTAGCATTCTGTGAGATTTTGGTCCATCCTCTATTGAGTCGCTCATTCGTAACGCAATTATAACAAAGCTGCCACATGGCTCTACTACATATGTCTCTATCCGAAATAGAGACACTACAATAATTCTATATTAAATACTTTATTTAATTATAAAAGAGAAGCGACAGTCTATATATGTCCCACTGATATGCACCATCCCTCACCCTATTTCGGAGAGAGTTATGGTGCAATTAGTCAAAGCTGCTCCAGTGCCCGTTGGCTATTATTTATTCTGTGCCGTTGGCAGTCTTTACATGTCCTCGAAATATTATAGTCCTCAGACATGCAGGTTTCCTCACTATGTGTTCCTCACAACCGAGGATGTAGTAAATCAGTTTCATTTTAGTACATCATTTTATTATTACATATATTATTTCAGATTTGTGTACCAATGTCTGTGGAGTTTGAAGAATTAGCCAAGATAAGAGAAAATCCTTCTGAAGATTATACAAGTGAGTTTTGTAATCTGCAATATTATATAAAGATGTAAAAGAAGTTATTTAATTTCATTGCTATTTTACAGCACCTGTCGAGTTCACCGATGAAGAAGGTTACGGAAAATATTTAGATTTACATGAATGCTATGAAAAATACATAAATTTGAAGGGTATCGAGGTAAGGAATAAAAAAAAATGTGTTCTACTTTACAGATCTTATATTACTTAGCACTGTTTTTGCTTTTTTTTCGCAGAAAGTAGACTACATTACATATTTGAGCATCTTTGACCATTTGTTTGACATTCCACGCGAAAGGAAGAACAGTGACTACAGAAATTATATTCGTGCTCTATTGACATATCTGAAGGATTTTGTTAGCAGGATAAAACCGCTCTTAGATCAGGCACAAGAAATGGCGGCTGCTCATCAAGAATTCGTAAAGCAATGGGAAGCAGGCACTTTTCCTGGTTGGCCAGTATGTGTTTTATTTATTTCATTATTTTGTTACGTCATTAATTTTAACAGACTTCAAAAAAGGTTTTTAAAATGTGCGAATTATTGATTTCTTATTTACCTCTAAAAATACTGAAAAATAAAGTAGCTTTATAATTTTGCAGTGAAAACTCCTTTAGAATTGTTGTGATTTGAAGCTCGATGAAACGAAAAAGCGACACTAAAAAGTAACATTCTAAAAAGAGCCAAACATTTACATCTATAGAATTTAGCCTGCGAGGGAATGAGATGGAATACAGTATACAGTGTTTCCTATTATCTATTCTGTACTTTAGCTATATAAGCCACGCGTGTAATTTCTTGAAATTGAAAACTTGGAGCCTGTATAATAATATGTGATGTAATATAATATATAATAGTAGAATAAAATGTAAAATAATTTTTTAACTTGGTAACAATATTTTAATAAATAAACCTTACAATAATTATCCTACTCCGAATACTCTGCATTCGTCTCATTCCCTTGAAGGTTAGTTTTCTGAAGGTTTCATTACTACCGCCCGTGAATTTTTTTCGAATTATTAAGTTCTTTAGTTTTTTCGAATAATTAAGTTCTTTAATTAAAACCTTGACGTTTAGCTTAATTCCTCTTTTATTTGCAGAAAGAAACTGGAGGTGCTTTAACAAACGTAGGGGCACATTTAGATTTGTCGGCGTTTTCATCATGGGAGGAACTGGCTTCCTTAGGTTTGGACAGATTGAAATCTGCTTTAATGGCATTAGGGCTTAAGTGTGGAGGAACATTAGAAGAAAGGGCACAAAGGTAATATTACAATTTATTTTATAACTAGCTGTCCGCCGCGACTTCTAATCGAATCTATACAAATAAATAAAATTGAAGTGTCTTTTTGTAATGTCAAAATTACAGCTTTTTACTTAATACATATGAATAGGGACTCATAACAAAAATATTTTTTTTTGATTTTGTCTGTCTATTTCTTCCGGCTAATCTCCGAAACGGTTGGACCGATTTTGACAGGAGTTTCACTGGCAGATAGCTGATTTCATATGGAGTAACTTCGGCTACTTTATTTTAGAAAAATAATTAGAAGAAATAAAAATAATGAGAAGTCTCGGGGAACAGCTAGTTTTTTTCTAAAATAAAAGTAGCATGAGTTGGTCCTTATAACGTCAGACAGGACATACGGACAAACAGACAAAAATTTTAAAAATTGTTTTTTGTTATTAGTAACGTGTATACTATCATATTATATGCATTTAGTAAAAAGCTGTTATTTTAACATAGACAAGACAACAATAGACATTTCAATTTTATTTATTTGTATAGATGTATACATTTTCCCTAATCTTAATTAAATATTAACTTATCAATTTTATATTGTTTTTAGATTATTCAGTACAAAGGGTCAAACAGCTTTAGACAAATCTCTTGTTGCAAAGAAAGGAGCTACTAAGGCCAAGGCCTCTACTCAACAGCGCCACAAAGATATTGCAGCTATTGAAGCTCAAGTTTACAGGTATCATAAAAATGTTTATTATAGTTATTGTGTTGGATTGGCAGATAAGTTATGAAATATTTAGAACAAAATTCTAATTTTATTTATTTCAACATTTACTCTTTTCAATCTACAATGTAGTCACCATCTGCACCAATAATTTGTAACCATCTTGTGGTTTGTGGAGACCGGATGCCACTGAACCAAACTATTGGTTAAAAAAGCAATTTGAGGGTAGATGCATGAAGATGGTTTTTAATATAACCCACATTTGGCGCGGTAGATGGGGCGTCCTCTGATAATTGGCAACGAATATCGGACGAGTGATAATTTTACATATCGCTTAAATTTGTGGCATTTAGTTAAATTCGTGGTACTGTAGCTTTTGTAATTTTTCTGTCAAACTTAGAAACTTAGCGATATTCACAATGTTTGTGACACGCGTAGTTTTTGTACAGATCGTAGTCCTTACGTTATCTCTTTTATCCATGTCTTGTATGTTGTGGATGTTGATCGAACTGATCTAGAAGAGAAGAGATGTAATACTTCCATCACTTACTTATCAACGTCGTTAGAATCGTTAATAAGTCGTTTTCTTTACCATTCTGGGCATCGGGCATGGTGCTTAAATTGGTTTTTGAATTTTTGTTTGTATTTAAATTTTTGGCGTTTACTCTAGTTGAATTATATGGAATCCGTAGTCTAAGATCGTATGGTATAGTTACTCTAACTTGCCCATGGTCACAGAATAAATAATAGTACTACGTACAAAAGCTGTACTCCTTTGATGTTGACTGCTTGCCGACGTTTTAATAGCCTACATAATTATTATTAATTAGATAAATCGCGCATGCAAGCTAAATAAAACTATCGCTGCGCACGAGTGTCCGTATTACTTTGCATCTTTTCCCCTTCCTACCTCACGGCGGACTTTCCGTGGTTACTAAGGGCTGTCAATAAGGAGTAAAAAAATATATCACGAAATGGTAAGTTACTTAGCTAAAGTACCTATTCTTACTATGTATAATATGGCTAATATCGAATATATGAACTAATATGACTATCGACTAAACATATTTTTGCTACTATGTGAGTACTGCGTTAGCTGTGTGAGTATGTGTGTGTGTACCCAACGCATGCAACTCCCAAGGCCATTCGTCGGGAATCGTGATGCTTGGCGCGGAAGAAATAAATAGATAGTGTAAACAACAAATAAACCCGAAATACGATTCATAACAGAAATGTAATCGTATTCTACTTAGTTAAAAATCTTGTACACAAAGTTCTAATTTAAGTACTTTGTGTTATTATAACTTAAAATATTGAGGAAGTGCGTGAAAGGTATAGAATGGAAGCGGACGAAAGGTTGTCGCACAACTTTAAGGAGAACTCCAAACTCTTCTGGAAAGAGGTTGGAAGGACCCGAAGTGGTTTCGACGGCCTTAAGAATGAACAAAGTGCTTTCGAGAACTAATGACGTCCTCTCAGAAAAATCGGACGTCATGCAGCGATGGAGCGAATTTTATAGAGAAATGTATGCGTGTGATGATCTTAGTGAGGGGTCCGGGGATGACGCCGTGACTGGTACGCCAGACCCGGACCTCGATGACACTGAGGTCATCAGTATGAAAGAGATTGAACGTGCGATTCGAAGTTTGAAATGTGGTAAGGCTGCGGGACTAGACAGAGTTACTGCTGAAATGGTCAAGTATGGTGGGCCTCGCGTCTGGGACAGCTTTCATCTGCTGTGCAATTTGTGCTGGCGGACGGGGGATGTCCCGGATGATTGGCGATCCGCAGTCATTGTGCCTTTATATAAAGGTAAAGGTTCACATTTTGACTGCGGGTGCTATCGGGCGATCAGCTTGACCAGTTTAGCAAGTAAAATTTACTCGAAGGTTTTGACACGTAGGATGCAAGAGAAATCGGAAAGATTTCTATGGGAGGCACAATGCGGATTTAGACCTGGAAGAGGATGCACGGATCAAATGTTTTCTCTCCGCATGATCACGGAAAAGCTTCTGGCTGCTAACCAGAGGATTTTCTGTGCTTTTGTGGATCTTGAGAAAGCATTTGATAAGGTTGTAAGGAAGAAAATGTGGGAACTGTTGCCGGGGTATGGTGTGGATGGTCGGTTGCTAAGGGCTGTGCAGTCTCTTTACTGTGACTGTAAAGCCTGTGTGCGGGTAGGGCATGACCTGTCACCCATGTTTAGCGTCCAAACGGGTGTAAAACAGGGTTGTGTCATGTCTTCCTGGCTGTTCATACTGTATCTCGACAGCTGTTTACAAAAGCTGAAAGATAGCTGTTTGGGTGTGAAATTGGGTGACATAAAAGTAAATTGTCTGCTGTATGCTGATGATGCAGTGCTTATTGCACCATCAGAGGCAAAACTGCAGGCATTAGTCACGTGTATGAAAGAGGAATGTGAAATTAAAGGTGTCCGTTTGAACGCTAATAAAACTAAGGTTCTGGTATTTGAAAGGGACGAAGAGAGAACGAAGTGTGAAATATGGGTAAATCAGGAATGTCTAGAACAAGTAAATGAAATTGTATACTTGGGGAGTGCTTTTAGCCGGGATGGAAGATGTGATTTAGATGTAGACAGGCGTGTCGCTGCCGGGAACAAAGTCAATGGTGCCCTGACTGCGTTAGTCAAAAGGCAAGGCGTAGTGAAGAGTGCACGCCTTGCAATACATAACGCAGTGTTGGTACCGACTTTGTTATATGGCAGCGAAACCTGAAGAAAATATATAGCGCGAAAGTTAATATTAAAAGGTGTCGAGGTAGACCGAGACTAACTTTCGAAGACCATGTGAGCAAATTGCTCGAGAGGGTAGGGTCAAGAGTACTCGGATACCTAGACGTGCATGTATGAAGAAGATAATGAATCTGAAAGAAGCGAAAGAGGTATGTAAGGATCGTGACACTTGGCGATCTGTTCTCTCTGACTACCCCGTCAGGGATTGTGCGTGAAGATAAGTAAGTAAGTAAAGTTAAATATTTTAACTATACTATGGATAATGAAGAAAATTTCAACTAAGTTTTGTAAGAAAGGACTTAAGTATTACTTCTGTAGTTAAATGATTACTTAATTAAATTTTCGCTATAAGTACATATCTAACAAAAAATGAAATAGATTTACCTTTCATTATCCTTCGGTAACTTAAAAAATGATATATCTGAATCCTTTTGTTTGCTCATTAAGCATCCATCCACGCAACAATTGTAGTAGGAACGACGTTTTGCCATTATTTATTATTTTACTAGCTGGCCAGGCAGACGTTGTTCTGCCCTTTCCCTGCATATAAAAATCCTTAAATTCGTAATAAAAAAATATTGAGTGTCACTTATCGGGATAAAAATTATCCTATCTCTCAAGTTGGACCGAAATGCACACAGTGTGTAAAATTTCATTGAAATCAGTTCAGTAGTTTAGGAGTCCATCGAGGACAAACAACGTGACACGTATTTTTTATATATAAAGATTTATCAAATACTATTTTATCTACCACTTTATCAATTTCCTTTACACTATTTTATCCTACAATTAAATATACTTAACACTAAACAAAAACTATTTCAAAAAAAATTCACAAAAAAGCTATGTAAACAGCGTTAAAAACGTTTTTTTCTTTTTTTTTCTTTAAAAAACGTCAGCCCCACACTAAGATTTTCTCCTGTGTCGTGGAGGCAGTTTACAAATTTAAATTGCACAAGGACAAACATCCAGACCCGGAACAATTATTTGTACAAATACTTGTTCCGTGCGGGATTCGAACCCGCGGCGCCCTATCGCCTAGAACAGGGGTCGGCAACCTTTTGAGTCGGAAAAGTCAAAAATTACAATTTACAAAATTTCAAAGTATTTAAAGAGCCACAATTTTTTTTCTTGCGAACCATAAATAGTACTTGCTTAATAAAGTTTATTGATAAAAAAATGTTTTTTACAATAAATTAAATATATATATATATATGGTATTATTAGATAATCACTTATTATTTAAGTAAAAAATTAAAACAAACATTTATTTGCATTGTAAGTCTTACAATACTAACTTGTACTTCAATAACATACATTTAAGCAAATTCAATGGGAGCGTTGGCTTTGCATGGTCTTAGAAAATTTGGATTAATTTGGCTCATAACTTGTTCTTTTAAGTTGGCTTCGTACTTTACTTTTAATTACATTCATGCAAGAGACCGCTTGCTCGCACGAATATGTCGATCCGAAGATAGTCAGCACTCCAAATGCCAACTTCTTCACCTCACTGTAGCAATCTGGAAGACTATTCTATGCGTCGAATATAAGTGCCTCAATTCGCGGCATTTCTTTCAAAGCTGTTCATTTATGTTGCGTTACGTACATACATTTCTGGACCCCCAACTCATTCAACTTTTTTTCTTTTTTTTTTCTTTTAAAAAACGTTACCCTAGGCGATTCTCCTGTATCGTGGAGGCAGTTTACAAACACAAATTGCACAAGGACAAACATCCAGACCCAGAACAATTATTTGTAGGCCATACAAATACTTATTCCGTGCGGGATTCGAACCTGCGGCTCTCCGGCGCAGTAACTCATTGCTAAGCCACTGCGCCACGGAGCCGTCTTTCTTTTCAACTCTGTAAATTTTCAACTCCACAAAGCTTTACTTTTTAAATCGATCAATTGCATTTCTAGAAATCCAGTATCAACTCCAAAGGCTCAGTGTGGATCGATTTTCAAATGTTCTTTTTTTTATAAAATAAATAATATTTACGTATGAAACCAAAGAGCCGCATGTGGCTCGCGATTGTAGGTAATTGTTTCACACAGGTAGCAAAAGTGACAGAAGCCTGACATGGTGTTAACAGCTATTAACAGCAGCGTGACTAGCGACTTATGTGTGAATTCTTTAACGCAGACTTCAGAACTTTTCCTTCTTATTTTCTTTAAAATCGTTACTCGCACAGTAAATTCCCCTCAAACCCTCAGTAAACTAATTGTATCGTCACTCATAAATTGTAAGAAAAAAAGAAAGACAAAGAAAGACATTTATTGTACATGAACAAATATCCAGATTTAAAACAATAATTTATAGATCATACTAATACATGCTCCGTTGCCGGCCTTGCAGCGACGAAATCAAATCTTTAGATAGATTCTTTATGGCACTCAAAATATTTTAGTACAAAAGCAAACCTAATGCCGAAATGCATTCTCTGCATCGCTCTGCTGGTTTACATTTTGCAATGAATAGTTTAATTTTTGTGCTTACTTAAATAAAAAATTGAAGCTTACGTTTCCTTTTCGTGAAAACGTTGATAATTTCATCGATATTCCAGACTCACATCTTTGTGTATATTTAGCAGAGCTAGCGCGTATATTTCCTGTGTCAATGAGGCACGCAACCAAGATTTTATTCTGCGCAGAGTAGAAAGCGATCTCTCCGAGGTAGCTACGCTGACTGGGGGAGTCGCCAGTATTTATTTGTATTCTATCATGTGGTTCATTTATCGCTGGTTGCAGCGACTGAGCAACAAGTATGAAAAGGTACCAATATGCTCGCTCACAATGTGACCGTCCTCCAATTCACAGACATAATGTGAGCATCACCATTTTAGGGTTATTGGCTGTGCCCTCATCAATCCACCTGCCCTAGGTGATGAGCTGGTGAGTATGGATAAAACTGTCTAGCTGCATAACTACTAGGGACATTCATAAAAGCTCTATAATTCAATGGTCCAGAAAAGTTGGTAAAGAAGAAACATTGCTCACAATTTTACTAAAAAGCAAAAACCAATTTTACTAACTAATCGTCACACTTAATTTTACGTAATGTCTGTAACATGTTTGCCTTAACTTTTAAATAAAATTTTATTATTTTTGTTACAGATTCGCAAACGTAGTGAGCAGTACTAGAGCAGCTACCATAGAGAATGTCACCCGTCGTGCAGCACGTGCTGCAGGTGAAAGGAGGGATGAGAGCGACGATGAAAGTGATGCTTCAGCTGGCCCTGATGTCGATTCCGATGACGACGAAGTGCCATATAATCCTAAGAATTTGCCACTTGGTTGGGATGGCAAGGTACATACTTATAAATCAGCTGTTCATGGGACATTTGTAGAAGGAACTCGATTTACATGCAACATAAATTTTATCCTCAAATATATGTTTATTGTTACACTAAGCGTTAGAACTTCTGTTCTGCTTATGAGTTCATAGATATAGAAGTCGGCCCTAGTTATGATCACCGGAGAATTTTAAACGGTTTGGTATCAGTAGGTTATTTTTTTATTCAATTACGCAATTACGTACTCGTAACTCTTGTGGTGCTTGCATCAATTATTTTTGCCTACTGAAACAAACACATATGGTTGTAGCATGAATAGGTCGGCTCGACCGCTCGAATCACGCCCTCACAGAATACCAGTATGAATTAGTAGCTTAATGCTGCTGTTTTTCATTGGTACTGCTACAGTTTCACCACTTAAATTCTAGTAGACCTAAACCTTTAATGATTTAATATATTTACGCGAATACAACATATTCCAAGTAAGATAACTATGTCATCAGGATGTTAAACACTCAGTCTTGCCATCACGTCAGCAGTTAAAAGTGAAATAGTAATAAACTAAGTTCAAATTAATCTCCTATAACATTCGCGCAAGTGCAAGCAATAATTTGACAAATTTTTACATTCTGATGAACATGGCAATGCATAAAATACGAATAAACAAATATTAATTTTTGTATATTACCATATTGCACTTATACCATAATATGAGCAGACGTATATCATTAAATTCTAATTAATCCATCTTATATTTTCTAAAATATCATTTTTATATTGCTACTTTGAAAAAAAAAACGGTTTGAAAAAAATTTACGTAGACGTCCGGATGTTGATTTTGTATGTGGTCACGATAACCTCCGAAAAAATTGACGTATCGAGACCGAGTTTTTTATTAACTTCACAATTGAATCAACTGGTTCTCTATTTTATATCAATAGCCTAGTACGCGTAGTTTGTTAATAAAATGATTTTCAACTTTTATAAGCTATAATACTATTAAAAATTTAAAGGCGCTATCATATTTTTTTAGTCCTTGATAGACAAAGGACAAATGTACCATACAGCCTATATCGATTTTATACTTTGTGTAATCGATTTATTTTGGTAAGCTTACTAATTTTTTCCCTGTAGGTGACACTACTTGTTAAAGTAATAGCGCACTAAATTTAAAACACGTAAATAATATATTTTAAAAGTCGGGAATAGGATTTATTTTTTTCATCAAAATTAAATGAAACACTCATGAGGCGTGCACTTTTGGATTTTCCAAACTATTTCTAAGTATTGGTGGCAACCACAGTACAAGTTTAGCTTAATATATGTAGTAAAAATTTTGTTTTTTTTCAGCCTATTCCGTACTGGCTCTACAAGCTCCATGGCTTGAACATAAGCTACACATGTGAAATATGTGGTAATTACACATACAAAGGCCCCAAGGCATTTCAAAGGCACTTCGCTGAATGGCGTCACGCTCATGGCATGAGATGTTTAGGAATCCCCAATACTGCGCATTTTGCTAATGTCACGCAGATCGAAGATGCACTCGCATGTAAGTATCTTTCTATGTTTGATGACTGCGTGGCCGAGTGGTTCGTGTACCTGACCACTGTCATAAGTCGTGGTTTAAAACTCATCAAAAGTCAGTACTACTATTTGTGCGAAAACAAATTGATGGTTTTCGGAGCTGGTTTTTTTGTGTGTCTCTGCATCTTATACTGCACACTTGTTTCTAGCCTAACTTTTATCTTGTAGCTTTGGCATTGCATATTTTGTATAACGTGTAACTACTGCTATATACGACATTAAATGAAAACGCAACATAACTCGTGAATATTTATTGAGCTGTCAATACTTTGTCAATAAATCATTTCGGGACAACCTGTACTAAAAATCGCAAATGAAGAGGTCGATTGACGGGGTCACACACAACTTTAACAGGTATTTATAAAATTAAAGCGAGAAATTAAAAAATCCATTTGCACGTATTAAAAGGAAGTAACGCGTGTGGCGTTGTAAAATTTCTACAAAAAAAGAGCCGCTACCTATCCGGAGATTCTTCGCTGTCCCTTTAGTTATTGTTATGCCGGTGACGTAAATGTGTGTTGTCACATCTACGTCACCGGCATAACAAGCTCGCATTGATCAACATTGTATTCTTGCAACTCTCGCTTAATAAGGTATCTATTGATTTTCGTTATGAGTGTTAAGACTTTTCACTTAAGTCTTAACGGCTTTTGCGAAAATCAACTTAATAAAAAGTAAAAGCTGACTTCAACTAAAAGGAAAATAAAATATTTCACATTCTGAAGTCGCTGCTATTTTATATATTTTTTTTTACCCTTATCAGCTTCGGTCAACAATACCAACTAGATAACGGATCACGTACAAAATGAAAGCATGTAGCTTTGATTTTGCTGTCTGCGTGAATCTATACTTATACAGCTACATTTGTTTACTAACGAACTGAGACAAAAAAATTAAAACAGTTTTAAGTACAACTTAATTACAAGTGTCACAAATCTTACGATCATTAGCTACAAAAAAGGAACAAAGCATTAGGTTACTCCTGTCACTTAGAAATGAAAAGACATAGGTTAAATAACATTTAGTGTGAAATCAACCTTAAATAATAACAAATAAAGCACTTTTCCCGTTATTGCCTTTGCGATTAACATCGTTTTGTTTCGTTTCTGTTTGCTTCTTTGATTTTTCTACAGGAGGTATGGAGTCGCGTTGAACACTAAAATAATTTATATAATCGTAAATTTACTTAAAATTACGTATGTTTTGGGCATCTATGTTAGTACCTCTGTACATACCTATTATTTCATGTTTTTTGTATATAATATGATTATTTACATTATCAGTGTTTTTATGTCGTACACAAAAAGTACACAAAAAGTAACAAACTGGTACGTTTTTTGTTTTTCAAATGGATGAAATGTCGGCGGCTGGCCGAAAATCAAAATATTTGTAACGATGCAACATTAAAGATATTTTCCATTCTGCGTACTTGAATTAATTTCCTTAAAAGAAGTTAGGTTTGTCGTATAAAATAAAAAATAAATAAAGTCTCTAATGAGATTACGACAAACAGATAAAATAATAGTTCTGGTTACAAATTATTAAAAATTATTACAATATAAATTTACTCCATGCATCTACTGTTCCGTTCTTTCACTGCTGGCCGGATGAGGAAGCTCAAGGTCGCTTAGCGAGCTATGGAGAGGGCTATGCTCGGAGTTTCTCTGCGTGATAAACTTAGGAATGAGGATATCCGCAGTAGAACCAGAGTAACCGACATAGCCCAACGGATTAGTAAGCTGAAGTGGCAATGGGCCGGCCATATAGCTCGAAGAACCGACAACCGATGGGGAAGAAAGGTTCTCGAGTGGCAGCCTCGTACCGGTAGGCGAAGTGTAGGGCGTCCCCCCACGAGATGGAGTGACGACCTGGTAAGACATGCAGGAAGTCGATGGATGCAGGTGGCTCAGGACCGTGCTTTGTGGCATTCTTTGGGGGAGGCCTATGTTCAGCAGTGAATTTGTGAAGGGCTGTAATGATGATGATGATGATGATGATGATGATCTACTGTTCTGTCTCACAATTTTTTTTAAATCGGTAATTTTGTTTCAAAAATGATATTATTTGTTAGTTTAGAGCATCGATCACTAATAAAAAACTAGATGCACAATCCCATACAAAAGTTCTCTCAAAACTGTCGCCAAATGTTTTGACGTAATTCTAGTTTATATAAATATACATTAATGTAAATTCAACCTTAAGTGAAGTGCCTAAAATTGTATTGACAAAGCAACGTATAAAAAGCAATAAAATTTAACGACCGAGGCTCGTCGCTTGGACAAGGAGAGTGGAGTCGAATTGCACAATATTTTTTGTTACTGTAATTTTAATTTTACATTTTTTTTAAACTTGTTTTAAATAATTGGTCTACTTAATAAAGCATATTCTGTTCTATCCTATGGTGTATATGTGTAATGGTTATAGTATTACCTGAATGTAAATATGCTTTTGTATAGGGCACCACATTCATTTAGTAATAAAAGTCATTGGAACAGTCATAATTATTTATTTATTCTTTATCTTGTGTGAAAAATCGAAAGATATTGCTTGACAAACAAGTTAAATCTAAATATAATAGTTACTAAATATAAAAAATAAGTACAGAAAGTACTTGCAAAATCTAAGAACATTATTGTCCAAATTTTTAAGTAATGTTCATATTTACAGATGTTTTAAAAAAAACTTCTTATATTTACGCGTTCACTACACATTTAAATGAAACTAGTTTTATGGATTTTATAGCGTATATTAACTTACTTTATATTCCCGACGCTTCGAGTACTATTTTATATATTTAGAGAAACAGTAAAGAACTCTCATTAAGCAATAAAAAAAACAATCATACTTTAATAAAAAAACAATAGCGTTTCCATAAATGGAACAGAATCAACGCATATATACCTCGAACAATGACGACTTATTTTATTACGACTTAATTTAAAAAATTCTTTTGCGATGATTTCTTGACAAAATATCAGTATTTACAATACAGTTATAACAATTAAATGATGTTAATATTAATATTTACCGAAAATATGAAATTCCATCCTTTTTTAGCGTCCTGGGTGTGTGATTTTTATACTTTTTAAACGAGCACTGAGGCATGTTTACCGTCGGAGCATTCGAATGCTACTAGATTAAAAGTGGACCCATATGTTCAATTGGGTGCACATTCGGTTATGCCATTTTTGGTCACTGATTGTGTATCTAGTTTTTTATTAGTGATCGATGGTTTAGAGTTTAAACAGCAATATGACTTATTCTGCATGTTCTTACAGAAAGTTAGACATTACACGGTGTTAAGTAGCTTTAAAAATTAAAAAAAAAAATAATTTTAGGCGAATTTCAAATTAATTAACTATATGCTATAATTTTAAAATAATTAACTACATGTTTATTCATTTTACATCGAGCATGATGAAACAAATTTTATGAAAATAATTAAAAACATTTTACATAACATAATATTCAATATTTTATAATATAGTAACATAATTATCTTACAGTCCTACTCCCCGCGGTATGTGTTTTATCGCCAGCAGCAGCGACCGGTCGCGGAATTTTGTGTATTATTTTATTAAGATGAGTGAATGCAAATGTGAAATTTGCGCGTAAGCTCTTCGCACAATAATATCTCTGCCCATTTGATAGCTTTTGCTACTATTGTATAGTTGTAACCGTAGCTTAAATGAGCACGAAGAACATCATCATTAAAATAACATTAACAAATTAACTCAACTACAATGAATAAAATGGATAAATGTTGTGAAAACTAATTGAAGGTAAAAATGCGTCAAGAGCCTGTCCAAAGGTTGGTTAATTTTCAGCTCATCGATAAAAAGAAAATAAAGTGAAAGTGTATAAATAAAGTAAAAATAAAACAAACAAAAGAATATTTTCTGTCTTCAAAAGGTTCTCTAATTAGATAAATTTCAACTCGCACGATGACGGCACAGGAAAGAATCACAACTAACAGCCGCCTCACGTACGCTCTTTAACGCGTGAATCGGCTTTCGCGCGGGAAAGAACGCGCATGTAAAAATAGAAAAGGAGAACGTCAATGCTTGCGCACGCCACCCGCTCGCTCATTCCCTCATACCTCAGTTGTGCGTTTAATTCTGTGCTCTTAAAACAATTTACACGCATGGTTTTGTAAAAACGATTGTCGTCTCGTCGATTGTAGTCATAAAATGACGGACATTAGATTATGGAACAAGGATTTTATTACAGAATTCTGGACAATATACAAGTCTCATGCGTGCCATCTTATGTTTGATTTTATTTAATAATATATTAAAAGTAATATATAAAAACAAATTAATAAATATATAATCTATTATATGCTTACACCAAAAAACATAGCTGTTTGTATAATATCCTAATCCATATGTCCATTTCTTTAGAACACTAGTCTTCAGAACATGCGTTTAACAAAACTGCGTGATATTCATACACTCAGGTCACAAAGGAAATTTGATTTGCCGACAGGTGCATAGGTAATATAATCAACCACTCTTGATTGGAACAATCCGTAACCGCCATTGTTTGCTGAATTCACTATTACAGTAAAAAAAAACCTATCGCGACCTTAAATGAAGACGAATATTTTAGACTTCCTTTTTATTGTGTATGTGATCAAACAAATTGTTATTCAGTCATATATTAAATGCCGAAAGATTGTTATTACATTTCAGTTGCTTTATATATAATTTTATCAAAATAGGGTTACAGATTCTTTTGCACCCCTACTGTGTAACCGATGTTCATAATATGATGTACTCGTATGTATGCTGTGTATGTATAATAATTAAAATAGATTTAGAATTTAATGTACATTACTTAATTAATAGAATTTATAAAATAAAATATATAATAGAACAATGAACCTAAAACTAAAAAACTTAAAAATATAATATAATAACTAAAATATATTATTAAAAAGGAGTCCCTTTATATTTTATTTTATAAATTACATGTTAACGTATTAACTTATAACAGTTGTATTTAATTAAAAAAAAAAACTATTGGCAAATTCAAGTGTGCATACATTAATAGGACATTATTTTTATTTTCAGTGTGGGAAAAAATCAAAAACCAAAAAGAGAGTGAAAGATTTGTAGCAGAAAACGATGAAGAGTTTGAGGATTCTCAAGGTAATGTTGTCAATCGGAAAACATATGAAGATTTGAAACGACAAGGACTTTTGTAAATTGTAATTGATATGTAGTTTATTTGAAATAAAATTTTTACATCATTATTTTTTTCATTAATTCATTCATTACTAAACATAGGCTTCTTCAATAGATTGCAACGTTAGAGTATTTATAAGCTATAGAGCGCGTATAGCGGTGTGTAGGTGTTCTATAGATTGATATATAGATAACGCGGTTCAATAGTGATGCACCATGATTGACGCTTTTGTGTTAATTTAATAAAAAAAAAAATTTAATTAGTTAAAGTAATAGGTAAGTATTTACTAAATATTAGGTACGTAAGTAAATATATTATAGGTTTTCGCAAGTCATTAAAAAAGGAATGAATTCATAAAACGATGTTTAGTAAATAAACACAAAAATCTATTTATAAAACGACGATTATTAAATAAACACTAAAATCTTATTAAACGCATTAAACTTTGTTATGTTCCTGTATAATAAAGCTATTAAATGTTTTATTTTATGATCCATATGGGTTAGGAATACAAAGGATCTTTACTTCTAATACTATTATTATATTATGATTACTAGCGATCCGCCCCGGCTTCGTACGGGTGATTTCTGTATTTCTACAACAGCGCCACCTACCGGGTTTAATTGTGAATCGTTAAGATCATCCAGGGACCTGCTCAAATACACACAAAAAATTTCATCAAAATCGATCCAGCCATTTTCGCGTTTTAGAGAGACTAAAGGAGCTATAGGTTAAAAGTTTTAATTTTTTAATTTTTAAAGCCCCATCACTGCCCTTTGTGAATGGAATTTCTTAAAATCTGTTCGTGGTAATTTTTAACACGCCAAAAAAAATTACCCAATGGTTGATTTTTATAATTGTTTATATGGCAGGACAACAAAATACTAAAGAGGCTGTATGGTCTAAGACTTTTGCCGTCTTAATTGGCGTATCGTCACAACCAGTCACAACTATCTCAGAAGAGCTAGAACCCAGAGCCGTAAAACCAGTTTAAAAAAAAGGTTCTGCTTCTGTGCTTGACAAATTGACAATGACAATTTGAAGTTTTGAAGTAGGTAAATAAAATAAATAATAACACGTGCTTTTTACCCAACACTTATTTTTAAATAAAAAATATATTGTATACTTGATAATTTTGGTAGCCATACAGCTTAAAGGCAGTTATACTGTACCATGCCAGAGAACATAAGTAGCCAAATTTTTACTGGTTCAAGAGTGTTAGGTTATGTGAGTACACATATTCCATTTGTGGCTAGATTTATTAAAAGACGAGGTGAAACTTTATTATGTACAAGTGTAGGAAAGTGGTTTCACACCTACGGATGTGATAAGTTTCGTTTACTAAGTGTAAGTGGCGAGCACCCGGGTCCCATTACTTGTATGTGTGGGGACAGCTATCATGTGTATACTGCTAGTGAAAATAATGTATATGCTTGGAGGCGAGGCTGCGAATTAAAACACGTATACAAAGGTCATCAAGCGCCAGTGCACAAATTGTTACCATTCGGCACACATTTAATATCTATTGATGAAGATAATGTACTGAAAATATTTAACATAAAAGATGAATCAGAGTTTTTGGAGCTGACATTTGATGAGGATAATTTTAAAATATCGACAATATGTCACCCTCCTACTTACTTGAACAAGGTATTACTCGGAAGCAAGCAAGGGCAACTTCAAATATGGAATGTACGAACTTCAAAATTGGTATTTACTTTCCAAGGCTGGAATTCCGCAGTTACAGTTACAGAGCCCGCTCCTGCGGTTGATGTAGTCGCAATTGCTCTTGCTAATGGAAAAATCATTTTGCATAACTTGCGCTATGACCAGACTGTTATGGAGTTTGTTCATGACTGGGGTATGGTCAGTTGTTTGTCATTTAGATTAGATGGGATCCCTGTGATGGTGACTGGTAGTACTAAGGGGCACATAGTTATGTGGGATTTAGAAGAGAAGAGAGTTATGTCACAGATACAATCAGCTCATTCATCTCAAGTGGCTGGTTTGCAATGTTTTATGTCAGAACCCCTAATGATTACTAATTCACAAGATAATTCCTTGAAAATGTGGATCTTTGATATGCCTGATGGTGGTGCTAGGCTTCTGAAGAAAAGGTTAGCTTTTCCTATTTTTATTTGTATTAATTACAAATATCTGATTTTAAGTTTTAAAAATAATAATAATTTGATAATATATATTTTATAGGGAAGGTCATTCACTTCCTCCGAACTTGGTGTGGCATTGTGAACCTACTGGAGAAAATCTCTTGGCAGCTGGAAGAGACAGCAGTCTCCACATTATGAATACTGTTACTGAAACATTCAATAAGAGCATGGGAAAGGCATCTTATAATAGAAAAATTTCTAAAAAGAAAAGTAAATACATAATTATTTATGTAATAATTAACTTTATGTAAATTCTAATAAATGTAATATTAAGCATTATTTTAACAGAGTACAAGTTATGTAACTTTTCACTATGGTTTAATGACTTATTAGCTAAAATAAGGTAATAATTAATAAAATCCAGTTCATAGCTCCTTGTACACAACAAAACATAATAAAATAATAATTAAGCATACAGATACCGATCAATGCTAGGGACTGGACAAAGGACTCATTAATAAATAATCTGAATACATGAGACAGGAGCTTCCTGCGGAAACAGGAATTACAATAAATATTCTGGAATTGTCTTAGTGTGGATTAGTGAAAAGACTATTTATTAGATTAAAAAATTGTAATTGCTGTGATAACTAAGGTTCGATGAAACTAGCCATTTGTGCTGGTTTTAAATACTTTTTTAAAATGTTATTGATTAGTAGTTTTGTATTTTGAATTTTTATAATTATTTATTATATTTTTTGACAGAACGACTACAAATTGATTATCTTGTGATGCCACCAATCACTAAATTAAGTTCTTGTATGCAAAGAGATAAACAATGGGACAGTATAGCTTCTCTTCATGAAGGCATGTACATGGCTACGACATGGTCTTACAATAAAATACGTATGGGAGAGCATAAGCTAAAGCCACCTGAAATGGAAAAAGGTGTTCAAGCTACATGTTTGACGGTCACACATTGTGGAAACTTCGTTGTCATAGGTAATAAATTTTTTATCTAAACTAAAATTTTTAAAATTCATGCATTTTAAGATTATGTTGTTTGTATCATTTTAATTTGTTTGTTTGAATGAAGGAAATTCAGAATCTTAGGTATATAGTAGTAAAAAGCTTAGGGGTGGTGAAATACAGCACAAAAAAAACTACAATTCTATGAATAAAATATAGCTCTTTTTTATTAAATTATATTATAGTATACTATAGTGCATTTATTCAGTTAAGTTATATATATTATTTATCTTACCAGTGAACAGAGTGTAGGACAACTTCCCACTAGATGGAATATCATGCATGTAACAGATACAGGAAGTCAATGGATGCAGGTGGTTAAAGACTGTCATTTCTGGCATTCCAGTTATATGTTCAACAGTGGAGTTGTGAATGGCTGTAATTAAAATTAACAAGGTTATAATTCAAATGATAGATACCTTATCTGATGATTGAAAAGTTAGCCCTCCCTCTATTGTTTGATTATTTTACAGTATTCCACACTTTCTTTATACTTATGGTTATTTAATGTATTACTTTTGACTCTTTAATTAATTTATTGATTAAAGCCTATCGCATATCCACTGCTGAAAATAAAGATATTTGCCATAGTTGCCATGCTTGTTATCAGGAAGATGTTGCTGCACATCTCGTGTTTCATTAATCTGAAGTAATATGGGAAAGTGCACGCATGTAAAATAGCAGCTTAATGCTGCTGTGTTTCGTATGGTGAGTGTTGAGAAACGGAGACCCTTTTTACTGGAAACGAGGCATTCCATCTCAGTCCGCAGGGGTGACAACACATCTGCATTTTGATTCTGAATTGATTATAAATGTAGATGGCTGTTCAATGTATTCTTCATCTCCCATTCAGTCTCCCATGACATCAATATGTTTACTTGTTTGTGTAAAAAGTTTTCTATTACCTTGAAAAAACATTCTTCATCTTGGCCTGAAAAATGCTCATTTACAGATGACTTGAGCTCATCCTTTACATCACCAAATTGCATTGCCCAAAGGTCTTTTTTTAAATTTGGGAATAAAAAGTAGTTGCTAAAGGCTATATCTGGGCTGTATGGCGGGTGGTTAATTTCGTCAAACCCACAGTTTCGGAACCCGTGCGTTGTCATGAAAAAGCAGCACTACTTTGGTCAGCTTTCCTCTTCTCTTTTCTTTTATTGAGTCTCTCAAACAATGTAAAGTGGCAGAGTATTTTGTCTGCGTTGATGGTTTCACCTTTTTTTGTGTATTCGATCAATAGTATTCCTTTGGAATACCAAAACACTGTAGCCATGATTTTACTGGTTGATGGAGTGACTTTGAACTTCTTGGGGAGGTCTGAACCCTTTGTCATGTCTATGCCATTGCTTAAACTACTGTTTACTCTCAGGGTCATAGTGGTGAACCCACTTTTATCTCCTATAATTATCCTATCGAATACACTTGTTGGGTTGTCACCACACAGCTCTAAAAACTCCTTACAACAGTCAACCCGCACCTGCTTTTGAAGCACAGTGAGCATTTGCAGCACCGATCTTGCACTAACTTTTGTGAGGTTGAGATAGTCATGCAATATGGTGTGTATGGTACCAGTGGATAAGTTAGTCATTTCTGCTAACATCTTAATTCTTACTTGTGCATCTTCTAATACAAGTTTTTCAATTATTTTCACATGTTTTTCTGTAGCCGCTGTGATTGGCCCGGCCAGGCGGGAGTCTTCTTTGATGCTTTCCCTGCCTCTTTTGAATTTACTTAACCACTTCTGTATGGTTGACATTTTAATGTCAATAATAATAAGTAATGTCCTTTAGGAGCAGAGTTTTGGTAAATGGCCACCATTTCTTTATTAATATTTTTTTAAGTTTTTCCTTATTATTATTATTATTTGGTCTATTTGGCCCTT